AAAAAGTCAATTAACAGTTAAATTACTGTCTCCGACAGTAAAATAACTGCTGGAGACAGTAATTTAGCAACGAATACAGTAATATTAATTAAAAATATTTTTTTTAAGAATAAAAAAGTCAATTAATAGTTAAATTACTGTCTCCGACAGTTAAATAACTGCTGGAGACAGTAATTTAGCAACGAATACAGTAATATTAATTAAAAATATTTTTTTTAAGAATAAAAAAGTCAATTAACAGTTAAATTACTGTCTCCGACAGTTAAATAACTGCTGGAGACAGTAATTTAACAACAAATACAGTAATATTAATTAAAATATTTTTGAAGAAAAAAAAAAAAAAACAGTCAATTAACAGTTAAATTACTGTCTCCGACAGTTAAATAGCTGCCGGAGACAGTAATTTAGCAGCCAAGACAGTAAAATTAATTAAAATATTTTTTTTAAGAAAAAAAAAAAAAAAAAAGTCAACGCCGGAGACCCGGCGGTCAACGGCCGTTGACCGGCCGGAAAAAAATTTCAGGAAAACAAAATAAAAAAAAAAAAAAAAAAGTCAACGCCGGAGACCGGCGGTCTCCGGCGGTCAACGCCGGAATCTGGCCGGAAAAAAAATATTTCAGAAAAAAAATTATTTTCTGAAAAAAAAAAGTTTTGGGGGTTAATGTGATATATTTGTTAAAATCCGGGGTCAATGTGTAATATTAAAGAAGTTAGATCATATTGAGTGGAATTGATAAGAATTAGGGTTAAAATTGGGGTCAAAATTGAAATTAGGGTTAAAATTGGTTAATTGATGAAATTGGGCTAAATTGGGGTGTAAATCATGAAATTGGAGTTGAATTGGGTTTCAATGAATTGGGGGTAATTTTGGTATATATAAAGGGATTTTCCTTATTTGCAAATAAGTTTGAATGGGGTGGATTTATTTGAAAGACAAAAAAGTTGAATGTCCCTATTTTAATTAAGTGCCCTTGTCATGGGCCTATTTGCCATTACCCCATATATATATATATATATTAATTAATTAATTAAGTATATATATATATGTTCATAACCCCCTTTCTTGCCCCCCTATTTTTTTCCGCTTTTTTTTTTTGCCCCTTTTAATCTGGAACGACGTCATTCCGTCAATTCCCACCAATCATATCTCTCCTTTCTTTACTTTTTCTTTTTCTTTCAGCAAATGCACGATCGACCTTTTTCCTTGATCGCCGCACGGGTTTCGTCAAGGTAAAGAAATTGGGCTGTTTTTTTTGGAGATGTTCATCTGCTAGGTGTTGTTTGTGTTGTGATTTGTAGGGATATGCCCTAATTGAATACGAGAAGTTTGATGAGGCACATAGAGCTATAAGTGAAATTGGTGGAACTGATCTGCTCAGTCACATCATAAAAGTTGATTGGGTTCTGTTTGATGAGGCACAGAGAGCTTTTCACGGCTCTCGTCAGCGGCGGGACAGTTGTCCTGTTTTCTCCGATGACGTCCCTCTTTTATGGCTCGAGATCATAACCAAGTACAAGGGGACCCACAGTGCGGGGCCCAATTTCGCCTTCGAACTCATGATTCATGATTCGGAGATTGGAGCTCGAGAAGAATAGAGCTTTGAAGTACGATCTTTCTTCCATGGTGTTTCTAATGGTTGCTGCCGAGCCGGTGAGGCAGAAGACTCTGAAGAAATTCATCGAGCTTACTTCTCCGCACGGTCTATCGGAGTACGTGATGGCTCCCGGCTACGGATTGGCCGAGAATTGCGTGTTCGTGAGCTGCGCGTACGGCGAAGGGAAACCTATATTGGTGGATTGGCAAGGTAGGGTTAGCTGTGGGTATGTTGATTACGCCGATCGAGATGTGGATGTGAGAATCGTCGATCCGCAGAGTGGCGAAGAGCGTAAATATCCGGAAATTGAAGGCGAGATATGGATCAGTAGACCTAGCGGCGGAATTGGGTATTGGGGGAGATCGGAGCTTTCCGAAACGTGTTCGAAACCTGACCCGGTAAAATGTACACCCGAACCGGCGATCTGGGTCTGGTCATCGAAGGGAACCTGTACATCACGGGTCGGATCAAGGATCTCATCATTGTTGGTGGGAGGAACATTCAGAAGGAGGAATATGCGGAGGAGGTATGGGTTCTGGTTTTTCGTGTGTTTTTAAATAACAATGTTCATATTTCTCCAGTTGCCAACTCAAATTCAGGTTCTTATTAACAGCAGAACATAGGAATCGGAATACCGCTACTACCAAATTATCATATTGGTATCTGTGAAATACATAGAGTGCATAACTCTGAAATACCATGATTTGGCTGAGAGTTAACTAGAAAAATAGAAATCTTGATATTTTGTTAAAAATATTGTCACTGAAATTTCTTGGCGGTATCCCGAAAGCCTATAAGTGGTTCTTAAAATTTAACATTTCATATCGATGCTGTAGATTAAGAATTGATAAAGAATTAACCTTGAAGAATCTTTGTGCACGATGAATTATATATTAAATTCTTTAGCTTTATGAAATCCCGAGGCCATCATTGTTTGAGCAAAACATCCCTCATTGTATTAAATGGCGTTTTATTGCAAAGCGTGTTCGAAGTAGCAGCATTGTTGCTACAACTTCTAATTGATTAGAGGATAAACACGGAGGCAAACTATATTTTTTTCTTTTTAATTTTCTCAATCTCATGTTATTTCTCGGAGTCCAAGGAGGAGATTCTGACTTTGGTTTCTTGTGAGAGTTTTGTGTGGCTTTGGTTTCGGATAAAGATGCTAACGTGAATCTTGGCTAAATGTTAATTAACAATATGTACGATCGTCTTTCTCATGAGAATTTTCTTTTTCAGCCGCTTATTTTCCCTTTGTATTGACACTTTGTATTGACACTTGACAGGCTTGTTGGTGATTATGTTCTTCAACGATTTACCGCATTGTATCTATCTTTCAGTATTCTAATTGAACTTTGTTCTCCACAGTGCTACAAGAGCAGGACCTGAAATCGCGTCGGCGGAAATATTTTCTTATAATTTTTGTCATGGTTTTGTTCGCATTGGATACTGTTTATTTGAGACGAACTGTTATTTTCTGGCGGTATCATTTTGTTCCATATTTGTATTATCTAAATAATGGGCAACGACACCGCGCATTGCGCGGTGCACATGATCTAGTATATGTATATGTATATATAAAAGTAGGGGTAGTGACAAATAGGCGCATGACAATGACACTTAATTAAAAGAGGGACATCCAACTTTTTTGTCTTTTAAATAAATCCAGCCCATTCAAACTTATTTGCAAATAAGGAAAATTCTTTTATATAAAACAAAATTACCCAATTCATTGAAACCCAATTCAACTCCAATTTCATGATTTACACCCCAATTTAGCCCAATTTCATCAATTAATCAATTTTAAACCTAATTTCAATTTTGACCCGCCGGCCGCCGCCGTTGACCGGCGTTGACCGCAAGAGACCGCCGGTCTCCGTCGTTGACTTTTTTTTTTTTTTTTTTTTTTGGAAAAACATTTTTTTTCCTGAATTTTTTTCCCGGCCGGTCAACTACCGTTAACTTTTTTTTTTTCTTAAAAAAAATATTTTAATTAATATTACTGTCTTGGCTGCTAAATTATTGTCTCCGGCAGTTACTTAACTGTCGGTGACAGTGATTTAACTGTTAATTGACTTTTTTTTTTCGTTCAAAAATATTTTAATTAATATTACTGTATTCGTTGCTAAATTACTGTCTCCAACAGTTATTTAACTGTTGGAGACAGTAATTTAACAGTTAATTGACTTTTTTATTCTTAAAAAAATATTTTTAATTAATATTACTGTATTCGTTGCTAAATTACTGTCTCCATCAGTTATTTAACTATCGGAGACAGTAATTTAATTGTTAATTTTTTTCTTAAAAAAAAATATTTTAATTAATATTACTGCCCTGGATGCTAAATTACTGTCTCCGATAGTAATTTAAATGTCTTAGACAATAATATTAATAATATTATTGTTCGGGAAAATAATATTCATAATATTATTGTCCCAAACAGTAATATTACTGTCTGAGACAGTAATTTAGTAGCCAAAACAGTAATATTAATTACAATATTTTTTTTCTAAGAAAAAAAAAATCAACGCGGAGACCGGCGGTCAACGGCGGTTGACCGGCCGGAAAACAATTTCAGGAAAAAAAAAAGTTTTCAAACAAACAAAAAAAAAAAGTCAACGCCAGAATCTTGGCTGAATCTGGCCGGAAAAAAAATATTTCAGAAAAAAATTATTTTCTAAAAAAAATAAAGTTTTGGGGGTTAATGTGATATATTTGTTTAAATCCGGGGTCAATGTGTAATATTAAGAAAGTTAGAGCATAGTCGGTGGAATTGATAAGAATAATATTATGGAGGTTATTTTAAACTAAAGACATGGGGATGTGTTTAATTGAGAGACTGTTTTTTTTGTGGACCAAAATGCATTTAAGTCCCATGTGATGGGCCTTTTTGCTGAGTAAACTGCAAAAGGTACCCCTGTATAATCTCAAACTAGCAAAAACCCCCTGTGATAAATAAACTAGCAAAAATCCCCCTATGTTTTTTTTTTTTAAATAGCACACTTGACCCACCACCTATTTAAGGGCTGACCTTGTGTAAATTGACAAAAAAAACCCTGTGAAATATCTATTTTTATAGTATTAAAAAAAGCACAAATGAGATATTTAAATTCTTATTTTCTAATGTTCTAACTATTTTATTTTTTATTACTGATAAAAAAACTAATTTTATTTTTGTTATATCTTGTAATTAAAAAAATGGAAAGGGGTTTTTTTATTTTTAAAATTATCATATAATTTCTTTATAACTTTGAAATTATTCCTACACTAAATTATGTAAGAGAAAAAAAATTACAATATTATGTATATGTTTATTGACTATTTTGTTTTTAATATAATATTTCCATTTAATTTGTATACTAAATTTTTAATAATCAGAAAAAATCAAGAAAAAAAAAATAGATAAATCGAATCATCATCATCTTCAACGATTTGAATCCCGATGCCATCTCCAACACCACCACCAACGTCTAAATCAGAGTCGATTAAAAGATTAACTGCTTCCCAGGTCCCCCAATTTTCGGAAGCTCCTCCGATCGTCAGCGCCCTTGTTCGTCCTCACGAAGTGATCGAGCCTGGACTTCGCCCGACGGCTATGGTAGAGCAGCACAGCAGAGCAGCCGATGGTGGAGGCTGTGCTGTGGTAGTGGGAGGACGCTGGTCGAATTGAAGTCGGGAAGATGGAGATTAAGGTTTGTGTAGGAATTTCCGGAAAAATCATGAAATTACATATTAATAAAATTTGGGGGGTAATTATGTAATTTCAGATTTAAAAATTCGTCACCAGCTGCACACTCGGCGAGTGTGCAACACGAAAATGCACTAGGGGGGGTTTTGCCTTTAACAAATTTTCATTGGGGAGTTTTTGCTAGTTTATTTATTATAGGGGGGTTTTTGCTAGTTTGAAATTTCACAAAGATATTTTTTGCAGTTTACTCTCTTTTTGCCATTCGCCCATAAAAGTAATGCAGCATAAGAAATCTAATGTGACACATAATATGAATCAAACATTTTTTTTAAAAGTGATAGATATTATGAAATTTAGAGAATCGAGGTCTACGAAATAAAGTTTTTTTCTTGTAATATAAGCTATGTTTGGAAGACAAATCCTTTTACTTGTAATTATTTGGAAGGTAAATTCCACTATCCCCTTGTACTTTGGCTCAATATCACTTTACTCTCTTGTATTTTCGATTGCATCGATTTGGCTCTCCTGCATTTGAAAAATTATCTCAATGTGACCCTTGCAGTTAGTTTTCAGACATTTGACCTTAACACTGTTTGATCTGAGTTCGAAAATAAAAAAAAAAAAAAAAAAAAAAAAACCACCCCTCACAGTTTAAATAATTATTAAAAAAAATTAAAAATAAATTATGGCTTATTTTCTTGATGTCTTCAATTTTTTATTATTTTTTTATTTTTTTAATTTTTAATAATTATTAAAACTGTGAGAGTGATTTTTTTTCCTTCATAATTTGACCTTATTTTAGGGACCCTAATTCACAGATAATAGTTATTAGAGTTAGGCAACTTTTACAAACAAGGCATCATTAATTACAATTATCTAGATGGGTTGGAGACCTAAATATTGTGATTAATTATAATTAAGGGGTCATTAGCAATACACCCCTTATATAGATAAAAAATGGTGATATGTCCATACCATATTTCTTCTTTTGTGAAAACTCCCTATAATATTTATTTCCAATCTTACCCTTATACTACCCAATACCCATTACGGTTTTTTAATAATTAACCACTATTTACAAAATTCCTATTAATGAGGCACCTAAATTCCGCTAATTATGATTAATTAGTATAATTTATCTCAATTATTCATTTTTTCTCTCTTTCCATAACAATAATCTAATTCTTAAAAATCAGCTTCCACATTCCTAAAAAATTGCTACCAAATAAAAAAAAAATATTTCCGGACTTTATGTTTTTATTTTTTATTTTTATATTATTTTCGGACTTTATTTAACCATTTTTTATTTATTTTTATTTTTAATATTTTTTAATAAAAATATTACTTTAATTTTTTTTAAAAATTATTTAAAAAAAAAAATTTAAATTTTTTTCTCAACAGGTTTGCAACGCCGAATATGACTATAGTTGAATATGACTATATGGGATTATAAACTGTAGTCATATTCTTTCTTTATATTGTTGCTTTTTTACATTTTGAACTTAAAAATTCCGATTATATGGTATAGTCATGTTTACCAAATCATATAAAACAACGAAGATCCCCTATTATTTACGAAAACAATCCAATCAACATCCACACAAAAAATCACAATTTGAATCTTGTTATTAGAAGTCAACTTGAATAGTCACATTCGAAAAATACATAAATATGACTATAGTCATATTCGAATATGACTATAGTCATGTTACTACTGCTGTTCAGATCTGGAAAAAAATTCGAAAAATACATAAATAAAGATAGAAAAATAACGAGACAGAGGGATGGGAGTCGACGAGGTCTTCATACATAAAATGACCCTGGCATATCTTCACCACAAACGACCCTCCATACTTCAACAGAATTATCAAGGTTGACGACATGATGTGCATCACTACAAAAAAACACGAGAATGTGACTACTATGTGACTACCAAATTGTGATACTTTCACAATTTATATCCGGAGTTAGGGGGCACCAAATTGAATCTCCTCCGTACAGTATATAAAAATATATACTCTGAATACTCTATCCAAATTTCGGCCACATCCAACGGTTCAATTGTACAAAAACGCGTCCAATCTAGTTGCCCTGAATTATTCAGAGAAGTCTGATTCCGATTTCCACCGTTCAGCAGCGAGTTTTAAGATCCGATCTATACGTAGAGAAGTCCGATTCCGATCTCCACCGTTCATAAGTTATATTTATGTGTTAAGAATCCTCTGTAAAATTATCAACCCGATCCGACGGTTAGATCTTCCGATCTGGCCTCTGCACGAAAACTGTTGTATCTCAAAAACTTGATTTTTCTCCTCTCTTTTCGTTCGCTCTTCGGAAGGAGAATCGAAATCCGGCGCCGGCGCCGTGTGCGGCTGAGTGGGTCCATTGGCGAGTGGTGGAGGATTATGGGTCTGAAAAAGAAAAAAAAAAAGAGAAGTTGCGTGAGAAAGAGAAGAATGAAAGAGAGATATATGGAGAGAAATAATGTAATCCTACAATCACGTGAGATTGTTATGGAAAATAAATATTGCAATTATTTAAAAAACTACTCATAAGGGTAGTTTCGTCTTATCAAAGTTGTTGAGGGGGTTTCACTAATTAAGATTGGACTTTGAATGTGAGCAAGAGTCTTAAAAGTAAAATGGATTTAACTCATAATATTTATGGTTTGAAAGGGGTTTTGCATATTTTCCCTATAATTAATTGTCAACACCTATTACTTATGACATCACAATCCACTTTTGGACTCGAATCAAAACAAAAACCATGTACAAAATTAATTTTCAATAAGCCAATTATTAAAAGAAGATTATTGATATAGATAATCATAGTGCGTGCTCGACTTTCAAAACACCAATAATTTGTATACTTA